GGGGGGGCATTGTGCATGGGCCTGTACTGACTTGCCTGGGTTGGTGACGGGGAGAGGGGGCAGAAAGACGGGAGCAGTGAGACCACCTTTGAGGGGGTCCACACTGAAGGTCCCCCCCTTGTTGGGGTAGGGGTCACTCTCAGCCTCTATCCCACGCAGCCACGTTGCTCATACACACAGTGTGTGCCTGGGGCCCTGTAACCTAATGACCAAATGGGTGCATGGTAGAGGATAACAGCCTACTACTGTTAACAGCTACCGGAGCTCCTCCTGTAGCGCAAGTGGTAGAGGTTTATGCTACAGCACTGAAGCTGCTGGATTCAAATGACCTGTGGTGAACGGGAGGTGGCTGGCGCATACAGCTTCATCTCAAAGGTGGAGGTGATGGGACTGGGCCCCACTGCTGCTCCAAAGGCGGTGGGGGTGGGGTGAGGGGGAACCTCTCTGGATCCATAGCCTTTGGCCCCTGCGTGCCAAACAGATGCACTCGTGTCTCTTTCTCTTTTCCCTCCAGATCTGCACCGAACTAAAACAATAACCCCCCTCCCCCACCGGCCCCCGGAGTCACATGCTGAGACTCGCTCAGTCCATAAACCGAGGGAGGGAGGAGCGACCATCTCTGTGCTCAATGCAAGCATGGGAAACACACACGGCAGTGACCCCTGCACCAGGCCGAATGGCACCAACACGCGAGGGCTGGAATGCAAGTGGCAGGGCCAAGCTGCATGGGGGGGAATGGGGAAGCCCCACCCCCGACATTCTGATGCAGTCATTCCACTTGCTTAAGGCGGGCAGGACTTATTTGCACCCGGAGCAAGGCTAGTAAGAGTCTCCGTGAGGCTGGTGAGCCACTGGCCGCATCTGGGCCCCCTCGGCTCCCTTTGGAGCCCGGTGTTTAAAGGCTGAGGCTGGGCTGGGCTGGCTCTGATCTCCACCTCCCACACCCTGCCCCGGCTCCATTTTCTCCCCAAAGGTTTGATCCTTGGAGGCAGCTGAGCTCCGGGAGGGAGCTCTCGGTTCCTTGCTGCAGCCATCTCATTGTGAGGGCGGGGAGGAGAAACCTCTTGCGGCTCCCCTCAGGGCCGGCTCTAAGCACCAGCAAAACAAGCTGGTGCTTGGGGCGGCACATTTTTAGGGGCAGCATTCTGGCGTGGGCCATGCCGCCCCTAAAATTGTGCCCCGGACGCCCTAACTCACCTCTGCTGCTGCCACTCGCACGCCGCTGCTCGCTCTCCCTCCCAGGCTCTCAAACCTGGGACGGAGGAGGAGATCCCGAGCGGCCGAGGTGCGCGAATCAGCTGATTCGTGCGCCGCTGCTCCCCTTCCCTCCCAGGTTTGAGAGCCTGGGAGGGAGGGGGGGAGACCCCCAGTGGCCGCGGCGCACGCGCTGCTTCTCCCTCTCCCTCCCTTCCTCCTAGGCTTGAGAGCCTGGGGGGAGGAGGCAGGGCTGGGGATTTGGGGAAGGGGCGGAGTTGAGGCGGCACTGGGGGTGGGGTAAGAAAAAAACGGGGGAGGGGGGGCGGCCAAAATTGTTTTTGCTTGCGGCGGCAAAAATCCTAGAGCCGGCCCTGGCTCCCCTTCACTTCCCACCCACGTGTGAGTGCTGTGAATGCCTGCGCTGGTGGGAGAGGGGGTCTGGCAGAGGCAGAATACGACCGAGCCCTTGGGTCCCTGGGATCAACACCCAGTGACCTAGATTCACAAGCCAGCAGGGACCCCTGTGATCAGAGCACAGGCCTTAGAACGTTACCCACTGATTCCTGCATCCAGCCCACAGCTTGTGGTTGAGCTAGAGATCTTAGCTAGAGCCCCCCAGTCTAGGTATAGAGACTCCAAGCGAATCCCTCGGTAGGCTGTGCTCGTGGTTAATGACCCTCCCTGGGGCCACCTCTGCAGCGAGTCAGTGAGACACACCATGGCTGGGTTTACCCTCAGTTCGTTGGCAAGTCCGCCCACTTCAACAGGGCAAGTGCCGACTGAAGGCCAGCTCTCATCGAGTGAGGTGCCTTGGAGCATCTGGGCCTAGGAGTCTAGCCAGCAGCCAAGAAAGGACAACTTGAAGGGAGGGGAGTTGGGAAGAAGCGCCCATTTGTGGGGCCGAGGGAGGTTTGGGGTCTGGCTGGAAAGAAAGACACAGCCACCTCCTCTCTCCCCATCCCCAGCGGCTTTTAGAGCAGGCATTCCCCAGCCCTGAATGAACAGGCCCCCGTAAGCA